CTCGCCAGTTGTCTTTCCTTTACTTCTGCTGTTTGTGTGCTATTCAGGAGAAGAAATTGTTTCTGGTGCGCAAAGGATTCACGATCCTAATCTTCTCACGGAAAGAGCTTTACATCATAATATTGACCTCGAAAAGATACGTTCGTATATTGATGCGTTCAGATACGGGTGTCCACCGCACGCGGGTGTTGGGATCGGTCTGTCTACACTGTAAATTCCCGTGCTCCTCGTAATCCTCAGTATTTTTACTGTTTTTTTTAGGCTTGGAACGTGTAACTATGCTATTTTTGGGCTTGAGCAACGTGCGCCTAACTTCGCTTTTCCCCCGCGATCCTAAACGAATTACTCCGTAAACAGCTATTCTGATATTGAAAAGACACCCTTTAAACCGTTATGGGTCTGCTGGATAGAGACTGTTAATTTTTGTTGCTGTTAATGATACTTTTAATTTCCTTGTTGTTACTTTACCAGTTGGCGACTATCTTAGGGTTTGTGTTCGCCAGTTGCTTCATATAATAAAATAATTGTTTTCATGGTTCGTTTCACAATCACCGAGTTTCTTATCTGTCGCGCATAAATACATTTGAATGTCTAATGCTTATCATTTTTCGTTTGCTTCATGTCACTACAAACTTGTACTTCTTAAAGGAAGAGTCATATTTTTTAGTTTAAGACCGTAAATTCATATGTTACATAGTGAGGTCTCCTTTGGACAGATTCCCTGATTGAAAGAACGGAGTTGAACCGCCATTTATGCGTTTCAAACGTTTAATTTCTCAAAGATCGTTACTGCTTTTTTGGAAGGAGAGTGTTTTTCAGGGATGGAAGCTAGTACGTTCGACTTTGATAATTTTGTGAATGAGTCAAAGGAAAAGGATCTTGATGATTTGTTCAAGGATCGATTTACTGAGGTGATGTTTTTTACTTGGTGAAAAATTAGGTTTGAATAGCTTAGTAGAACTTTTAAAATTTGTTATTTTCGCAGAACGACTCCTCGTATGCCGAGATGTTAAAGGGGTTCCCGGATCCGGTGGTCGTTTCTCCGTGGTACTCATTGAGGAACTTCGCTTTCGGGTATTATGTTTGGAGCTCGATGGTCTTATTAGGTCTATAAAAAATGTGTTTATGCAGTAAAGTGCATTACTTGAGTGTTGAGCTGCTACGGAAGTTCATTTGCAGGAGGCGCAAAAATGATTTTAACCGCGTGAACTATGGAGAAAGATGTGTTGATCGGATTTCATATGAAAGGCAAAGGCGAGATCAAGCAGACGAAACTCATGACAGGAATTACGGGCAGGATCGATGTGACCAAAGACCTCATTTCAGCAGGAAAAGGCGAAATCCTGATATGGACCGCGATCGGCAGTTTTATCCTAACAGGAATCTTGGGGAGAATCGGTGTGATCAAAGACCTAACTTCAGCAGGAAAGGGCGAAGTTCTGACGTGGATCGCGATCGGCAGTTTACGAGCAGGATCGATGTGAATTACGAGCAGGATCGATGTGACCAAAGACCGAACTTCAGCAGGAAAAGGCGAAGTCTTGATGTGGACCGCGACCGGCAGTTTTATCCTCCACGTAGCTAACCTTGTAAATATTTTTTCTTGGTGTTGTTTGCGTCTTTAAGAAATGTTTTTCAATTTTTGTTCGAAGAAACGGTAACGCTTTAACTACTTTACAACCTACTTTCTTCTTAATTTTCATGCGGTTTATTTATTCTCAAAGATTATGCATGAGCTATATCTTATTCTTAAGCTTTAAGTTTTTGTGAGTAGTTAAGTTTCAGGTTTGTGGCTGTTGAAAGAAGGAAAAATTAATATTTTTTTGAGTCTTCAAGATATAGTCGTTGAGATTTAGTTTCATAGAGGCTGCGAGTATATCAGATGACTATTTTTTATTTTAACGATTAGTTGATTAATACCGCATTCATTAACTGTTTTTCAACTCATCCTCACTTAACACCGTAATTTCCTAGCAGCAACGTCATAATAGTTATCCGTATAATTTTGTGAGTATGTTTAGGAATTTCCATGAGGAGGGGGCTTGAACTTGTTTATAGGCGTATTTTTATGAAGCACAATTTTTTGTACTTATCTTTGGTCACTTTGCATTTATTGCTTCGTGAAACTTCCTATTTTACCTCGTCTGTATTCTTCTGCTAATACTACTAGAAGTGACAGTTGTGTTGCTGGCTAGTTTCTAATAATTGCCTCATCTGTACCGTTTGTGAGGTAGTGGAGGCTTTTTTCTTTTTTTTTTTTTTACTGTCTACTTTACTTGTGAAGGATTTGAGAAATTCAACAAGTTCCAAGAGAATTCCTGACTTCCATTTGATTCTAACAAGTGTTTCGTTTCACTTTCTAGCTTTATGGCAGTTATAAAGTCTTGTTTCAATTTTTCTTGCCTTTGTTTACAGTTAGTGCTCCCGAAATTCAACAACTTTTTTTGATATGTTGTGTCTTCAAACAATATATCTTGTCTAAAAATTTAAAGTGTCGTTTTTTGTAAAGAAACATTTTTAATTTTTGTTTTCACTTCAATTTTGTATAAAATTTGTCGATGTGCACATTTCACTATTTTTCTGAACCTGCAGGAGATAGGCTGTGCGTGCATAAATGAGGAGCATTCGTCGCGAATGAAGGGAACTACACCTCTTTAAATTGACCGTGCCGAGGAAAAACAGTGTTTTTTTTTCACTTTTTGAAGAAGTCTAGCTTCACTACGAGCGCAAGGTGAGACTGTTTCAAAGTTAGACTTATATATTTGGGCCATTCCACGCCAAATCACACAAGTTTGCACTTCAACCTCTCAGATTTTTTTTCGTTTTTTGCCAACTTGTAGCATTTGATACCGAATTTTAAAATCGAGAGTTTACCTCAAAAAGTTTGCTGGCGGCAAAGTTAGACCGTTCTAAAGTGCGAAAAAAAATGCTATTTATCTTCGACATGGTCACATTTAGGGAATTTTTTTTTTCTTCATTTGCAACAGAGTTTTCTGATTTTCACTTCTCTTGAAAGGTTGTCTCCTGCAAATTCAGAAAAATGGTAAAGCGCACATATTAGAAGATTTATTTTAGAGTAAAATATAAACAAAAATTCAAAACAATTTTTCTCAAAACGGACACTTTAAATTTTTAAAAAAGACATTTTTTAAAGACAATTTCTACAAAAAATATGAAAATTATAAGGTGGTGTCTTTTCGGCATCAAGAGTTATGGTACGATAGATGATAGTAGACTGGAAAAA